TCAAAATCGCTCTCAATTCACTCTTGGTGACTTATAATATCCAGTAAAATTCTAGTTTTTTTTCATATCACTATTCTTTTTGCCTCATATTTCTGTTCATGGAGGGAGAGTGGCAAGTGGAACTGCTGCATACTTGTGCAAAGTCCTACGTTGAAACCAGTCAGTCAGTGAGTCACTCAGGTTCTTTTCAACTCAAATGGAGCTGAATTCAGTACTAATTACTTAAAACAAATAACCACACGGAAATACGTGGGAAGGTACATTTCCACGTATTATTGTCTACACAGAAATTCTCTAGTTTGGTAATAGCCCAACACAATGTAATCTGGAACCTAACGACGTATACTTCATCACATTTGACTAGAAACAATTTCATGCATTTTTAGAAAAAATCATTATTGAGGACAGGAAGAACAAACACTGCGCCCCGTAGAATAACATGAATCCGTTTTATTTCGCTAGTTCTCATCAGCTGTGTACAACCTAATGTTCTTTAATAAAATAAGTCAGTATAAAATTATAACATACTTTTGTCTATCAACAGGCATATTTTCGTAAGAGCGTCATAGTAAATTAAAATGTCAGGATGATAAGGTATCTGAAGTCGCACAGTGCATATATACATGTGTCTTGTTAGAGAAAAGTTTAGATAAGGCAATAAGAAGACTTAATTTGTCTCAATCGTATGTGTAATGTTGCATTTGCGCAACACATTTCGAACAATCTGATCCAGCACACATGGACTTCTCATAGGAATATATATGAAATTAATAAAGAGTTAAGAGGTGAGAAAATAAATTACTTAGGTCAAGTTAAAAAGACATATTGAAGGTCAAAATAACAATAAAGATCGCTAAACCAAATAACAGAGGTATTAGAACATCTACCGTGACTGGTATCAAAACAAAATTTACCAAGGAAGATGGTTTAGTGTGATGACGAATTGTTGCTTTGAACGCATAAAGGTGGTTTAAACTTCCCAGTTGCTAGCTAGTGCTTCCACAAACTTTAGGATACTCCCTTCCCCAAACACATTTATAGATAGGTTTAAAAGATCTGTTAACGTCAATTTTATATCCTGTCTCTGTAATATGTTTCGCAATAGAAAAGCTAGGTCTCCTGTTCTCACCACTAATGAGTTCTGGGGATTTTATTTGCTTCTGAAGCTATTTGGGGATATGCTCTGAAGCCAGTCCTTACTTTCGGAGATCGATTAGTCCTCCCCGTGTGTATTTGTGTCCACATGTAAATTTAAATTAATAAGTACAGTGGGATGTGACATCGCTTTTCGCCTGTTCAAAGGGCTTAGATAGATATATTGGCTTCACATTGTCAATTATTATGATGTTAGCAGCGTTCAGTCTTTGTCTAGTTATCAAGCTGCTATGATACCCCATATAGGGTAGCTTGATGTACACGTCTATTTTAGGGGCGAGTTGGAGAGTGGGTCTTGGTGTTCTGAATACTTTATATACCCTGATGAACTGGTCTGGATAATTGTTATCAACAAGAGTTTGTGTCAACTTTCTTTCTCCCTCATCATCAAGTGTGTCTTCAGTGCATATTCATTGGATTCTGCTGAAGACGCATCTTACTAAGGCTCTTTCGTCCCGAACAGAGCAGAAACTGTGATAATTAAGATACTGTCCTGTCCAGGTAGGTTTTCTATAAATATATTTTTTTATTGACCCACCAAGCCGTCGACTAGGCAATATCTCTAGGGAAGATAAAGAATTATCTTCCTCTTCTACAGATGTAAGTGATATGCTATTCTGAACTTCATTCATCAGTAGGTTTAAAATTGAGGTGGCAGAACAAGGCGCTTATAACTGATGATTACAATATCATCTACATACCTTCTATAAAGTTTCTCGAAAAACCAAATGATAAATTTGTTATCAGGGTGGTAGCAATTACTTAGTTAGATAAAAGAAGATAAAAATTTGGTGTGCAAGGGGTGAATCGACTGAAAAGATGATGACGTAATACGATGAATGGAACTCCAAAGTTTAAGAAAAATAATCATCTCTTATAGAAAACAAACGCAAAAATTGGAGGATGACAAGACAGATTAATGAAATTAGAAAACAAAGAACTACTAAGTGATCAGTTACCAGGTTAACTGAATTCCAACAACAGATTATAAATAGTAACCACCAACGAAATAAAACGGAGCCATGTTATTTTTGGACCAGTGTTTGTCGTTTCTCCGCTCAAATCTATAAAACCTAGAGCTGATAAGGAGCATCAGCATCGACCAGAATACAATTGCCTAAGTAAAATCACAAGAAATATCAAGTTCACTAGATCAGTAAATTGTAGCGCTTTTACACTGTCATGAACTGTACGCCCATAAAACTGATTCATATGCGTCGGTGGCACAGCGGTTAGAACGCTCGCCAAGCATACACATGGTCCACGGTTCGATCCCAGGTCGACGCACACCGGATATCAATGGTCAGCCTGCTAAATTTGGGCTACCGATATCACATGCTGAAGGTACTATACTTGTACCAAAATGCTGTGTGGAATCAAGTTATACCCAAAAATTTCAAAAAAATGTACCCATATTAGACGTTTACAGAAATTAATTTTACACATATTTGTTGAATATTTGCCAATGTATTATTGAAAATAGGTTTTCGTTTTTCTGCTTGGTTTCACATACGTTCGCCTCGCGCTCTTCAAATTCTGATTTTGTTAACAACAATACATATTTCCAAGTTTTCACTTCTGCCTCTTGATACAACATTGTTTGACAAATCAATCGCATACAGTGTTAGCTATCACACCTTAGAACGTCAACACATGAATGTACTATAATATTATAATCGGAATCATGTTTAATACCCCCGTAAAATACTCAAAAATGATCACGAACTAAAAGGTAGTGTTTTTATCGTTTCGTTTACCTTATTATATAAATATGAAGCTGTGAAACCTAACTACTGTGCTGATATCTCTTCCGTAAGACAGACGTGTTGTGCTTATACAGCTAGATTTTAACTTTATATATATATATATATCACACATTCTGATGTGGTTGTGTTCTCTGAGCTGGATAGTTTATTTACGAAGCTTTCATTGCCCTATTAGGCAACATCTTCAGCGCATACTTCAATTTGTTGAAGTGAGCTATTAGATTTCTCCACAAGTTTATTAGTCTAGTTGCCTAGTGGTGGGGCAATGAAAGCTTCGCAAATTAACTATCGAGCTCAGAGAACACAACCACATCAAAATCACCCACCTGAGCTACAAATCTTTTCCATTATACCACAAATTCTAGTTAGTGTGCGTCGGTGGCACGGCGGTAGAATGCTCACCGACCATGCATTTGGTTCGCGGTTCGATCCCCAGCCGCCGATACACTCCTTTACCTCGCTTAGCCAGTAGTTAGACTGGTAAAGAGGAAAGGTTGGGCGTGACGCTAGCAACCCCATCCTGTAAAAATAATCACCACTGCTACAGAAATTTCAAACCTCTAGCTTGAAGTAGCCCTATGTTCCACTGGGAACTCAAAGGAATAAAAAAACACACATTCCAGTACTCTGATTCTTAGTGTTCCCAGTGCTGAAGAGTATGTAGTGACCCGTTTTATTATTCATCATCGCAGTATACTTTCACTATGTAATTGGACTTTGATTTGTTTATTACTCTAAATCTCGCATGTTAACAATTGATGCTTTTGTGCTCGTTTGATTTTTGAATTTTGATTGCTGCAATAATACACTATCGTATTCCTTCGCAAGTGCCTTTTGAATTACGTTGTGGACGTCGAGTAATCACAACGTTAGCACACAATTATAAACGCGAGGAAGTACTAGAATATACGTGTACTCTAGTTTAGTCAAAATATAGCAGCACAACAAGTATGTCAGCAATAACTTCTTTCTCTTTACACCCTCACATAAATTATGCTTACACATACAATGAACCACACACACACACTAATGATTGCTATTACATTTCCTACTTACCCACTGCTGCTACTTAGTAGTCTTTATTTAAATAGCAGCTGTTCTGTAGGTTACACTAGCTTGTATGGCGTAAAATTTGAAACCATCTGTAAATACGTTTATACTTGCTAAAACACCTAAGACTTTGTTGTCAAATTGCATGTCTAAATGCAGATTACAACCAGTATACTTTATCACGAAAATATAACAACGAACTTTAAAGTAGCGTTTACAAACAACTCATGCAAATCAAGAATAACTGGTATAATCACTAAAAGCAAGTAACAATTTTACATGTGTAACAATACTCCGACTATTCTCTCATGTATACTACGCGAAATAATATTTATCACATACACCACAAGCCAGAAAAAAACCGGCAATCGCCAAAGACTTCATAGAATTTTGTAAGATAAGCACTTTAGAGAGAGAGGGAGTAGTTGGCACACATTCATTCCGAGTTTGACTACAGGCTGATATCAGTTAGAGAACCATTGAAAACCAGGGAGTACTGGACAGCTGTTTCATCCTAGTTTGAGGCTAGAACCCAAGACCTTGCGGTTACAAGGCAAGCTCGTATACCATTCAGCCACTAGGACTCGATTCAATGGCCAGCCCATGAATTCTAACTTCTACCAATTCGTGATTTAGCGCGACCACCAATCAATGTCATCGGTGGAAAATCCATCCTCACACTTGACTAGTTGGACCTCACTGGTCACAACTTCTCACTAGAACTCAAGGAAACCCCGTCCTGTAGAAGTTAGAATTCATGGGCCATTGAATCGGCTTCCAGTATCTGAATGGTATACGAGCTTGTCTTGTAACCGGAAGGTCCTGGGTTCGAGTGCCAGTGGGTGCGTACTGACGTATAAAAAAATCTGAATACCACACAATTTACGAAAATTTAGATGCGTAACACGAAAAAATTTGAAAAAACTGAAATACGAAACTAAAGGGTGAAATTTAATAGACACTAGTCCACACTGTACTTTACGGTGAGTGTAACTAAACAAAAAAAACTGAATTATGAATTTGACTTACATAACCTCCCATTGAAATTCCATGAAGTGCAAACGGTCCATAACCATTCTGTTCACACCAATCTAACAGCGCACTGCATTCCATTATTAGAGCTCCGCCCATAATGAACAGATCAGAGACGAAATTCAAACTAGAACCTCTAGAAGCACAAAAAAGAAATTCAACGATAGACTGTATCCTAACTCGAAGACAAGTGTACTCAAAAAAATTATGCAGAACCTCACTCCTACTGTGTACACCAACACCAAATCTACAAAGGTTGAGAATACACTTGAACTAGTCCTTACTTATACATTTTCGTCAACATCTGTACATACTGGGAAAAGTTAAACGGTAACAGTAAAGAATAGACACCAACTTCAGACAACCTTTAAACAGCCAATTAGATTCATCTAGGTGAAAAGTGGTACTTAATTTACAAAGAAGTGTATCTACGATATATATGTAATAAAAATGAATCATATAGGGTATATATCTCTAATGTGCTGCAAAAACTGGCCCCAGATTCTCATAGAAGTGGTTATAGACATATTTAACCAATGTATTCTCTATTTTTTGTATTATAGCTTGAAACCACACAGTATTTTTGGTACAAGTATGGAATTTTTAGCATGTGATATCGGTAGCCCAAATTTTACAGGCCGACCATAGATATCAGGCGTGCGTCGGCAGGGGGTCGAACCGCGGACCATGTGCATGGTCGGCAAGAGTCCTAACCACTGTGCCACCGACGCACAGATGCTGGTTGCATATACGCAATATATTAATAAGGGACAGCTTTGATTTAGAGAAGTGCATAAAAATCACCACTAATATACGGCTTACCAACTGATAGAGATTTCCTTATATAAAGTGGTTGCATCTGAATGTATAACCGTCAGTAGCCCCGTAATACTTTTTCAGAGTCATTATCCCTCCACATATGCATGTTTTATTCCTCCCTATTAACCCATTTTACCACAGAGAAGTCTAAAACCAAACCTAGGAGATATTTTAAACAAGGATTATGACTAGCAATTATTTGTATTGCTATGCGCGATATGCCCATTCATCCATATGAGCGTAGGTCATGGTACTTTGAGACCCGTTGACATTTCTGATACTATTTTCAAACCTACTCCTTACTCTAACCATAATTCTAACTACAAATTCTAACTTTAAACCTAAACCTAACCCTAGACCTCAATCTTATAAGCCATAATCCTAGCTAACGGTATAGATTTGCAGGAAAAAAACACCTAGTAAATAAGTAGAATACTGTATCTATCCTCTCCAAGTCCAAAAAGGCAGGCATGACTTGATTTAGAATGACATTTCATAGCATTCTCTGTGTCTGATTGGTTGTTAAGAGTCGACTTTTGAAAGACCTTGACTATGGCTATGATACTTTAACTTCGCCAATTTATCTAATAAAAGCACACAGCGAAAAGGTATTATTTGCCGATGTTTTGAGCACAGTTTATTGCTCATAATCATATCAAGGCCTTGGAACAGGGAAAGCAATGATATGACAAGGACACGATGCCTACTCATACAGACACCAACTGTTAGTCCAAGGCATGTATGCTGAGGTGCCTACAGTCACAGGAATCTGTGGTTGTATGTTCTAACTGGTAAAAACTAATGATCGTTCGCATTGACAGGTGGATTTAAACATTACCTTCAGTTTAAATCTGACAGCGCGTTTCTACTTACTTCATCCCTTTCAATTTGCAGTACCTCAAGAAAGGAGAATTTTAGGGGAAAATAATACATTTCTACAATTTCCTATATATATTTGCCTACAAACCTTTTAACTGAGTTCAGAGCCGATGACTGTTTTTATTACGCACTTTACGTGTTAATTAAAAGATTCAACCAACTGATACAACACACAGGACTTTCATGTCTTATTTTTATCAGTATTTTTTGTAAGACCACTGTACATTCACCTGACTTATTACATCAAGGAACTCCTCAAAATGTCATCAAAATCTGGATCGACACTTCCTTAGTAGTAAACTATATACAATGATAAGGCAAAATGCAAATTATAATAATCCCTAAAACATGCAGCAATAATACTTGAAAAAATTATTCAAAAAATAGCAAATAAATGAAGAAACAAACTTTTGGTCCTTAGGTTTCCGAGTGGAATAAAATGGATTCATTATAATAAGAGATGCAATACCATCTTCAATCAATTGATTGGCGAGAAATAATCTTCTTCTGGAGTAATTCTAAAAAAAGTAAAGTATACTAGACGATAATTACATGATCACCCGTGCCAGCAAAGTGGATGCAAACTGGACGATAATTTGTAGACCAGGCTTTTGGTATAACCATTTGAAATCTGAAATATACTTTGAAAACACCAAAATTTACCTTGAAACTTTATTGTCTTCTTTAAGTGCATTGGGAATGACAGTATCAAATGGAGATAAGAATGATCCTTCGATTTGTACAGTACGCTTACCCTCGGTTCTCTGAACATGAATTCACATATGTACTGAAAATACCTTCTCAATATTGATATTAGTCTTACACTTGACTGAACAGTAGATGTCCCTCTGTTTGACAATCTTCATATTCTCAACCAACCTATACGGGTTGAGATTACACTTGAACATTTAAAATAAAATCCTACTTAATAAGAATATCTGGCCTCCCCCAACCCTTGCTGAAGAATTTCATCGGAAGAACACTTCGGTATATTTTATCAAAGGTACTCATTTCCGCTCCTGGCTTTTTTTTTACTACATCTACATACTAATGTCCTTTAACTGGAGAAATCGTACGTTAACTTAATGGTGACCCTGAGAACAACCTTGAGTCCTATAAAAATACTTCAAGTTAACAAACTCTTCCATAAACCAACACACTTAATTAAAAAGCGCTTCTTGATAACTTTGTATTGTTAAAAAAACCTTTTTGATATAATACTTCTCTCATTCTCGGGTAAGATTTATTAATAAAAGTCTTATCCAGGACTCAATATTGTTGTGGTGACATAAAACTATTGGCTTATAGCTGTCATCGTTCATGAACGGACGCACATAACACTGTGTCACTTCATTGTAACCACTGATTAGCTTTCTTTTATGGAGTACCAAGTATTTAAGTCTCAACACATCCGACAAAAACACCTTCACTAACGTTACAAAAGCTACCAAGGAGACCAAATTGCGAATATATTAGGGTCTGATGACACATCTAGGTATGTCATTTTATGCATCCGATGCGCACGGGTGCCTCAGTTTTACAACATTTGGTCAGTAATCAGTAGCAGCCACTTCTCCAAACGGCCTCATACTTCGGTAAGTACAATACTTTTGATAAGGAGCCACTGGTTATGAACTATGCTCTACGTCACATTCGGAATTCAGTGAAAAGTTGTGGACATTATTTTCACAGACCATTAAGCTTCCAGATACTCTCTAGACTCAACATAAGAGACAGGTAATGAGAGAATGAAGCCCAACATACCACATTTCACAGACTACTTCAAGCATCTACTATGTATCTAAGACGCAAAACGATGTCTCAGATGCCTTTTCGCACATCTCCTTCGCCTACAATAAGGCTATAGACCCTCTGAAACTGACTTGCCTTAATACACATCACAGTGAACTTAAACTTCAGATATCTTCCATGACACTAAATTTTCAAGAGAAACCAATATGGTAGTCCTACTTTGTGACGTTTCTATGGATTCATTCCCTTCTATCGTGTCCCAAAGTTACTTACTTAAAGTCTTCAACGCGTTACATGACTGATCTTATCCAGGCATTTCAGCTACATAAAGCTCATCAATAAACGGTCTGGCAGGCCGGACTGCCAGAAAGCCCAGGTGGTAAGTATCTAATTCTAGATACACGCCTCTACAACGTTCACTTAGATTTCTACTATATATTCATCTTTTGCATGAAACAAAGTTTCACTGGTGTGCCGACGTCCTACTTTGGCCATTTTCTTCGGTGACCTGAAGCAATATCCTAAAGGACGTATCTGATAAAACAGTAGCATGCGACTTCACTGGAAAGATGGATTGCGAATTTCACATGCCCATGTCCCATAACAGCTGACTGCTGGTGACTCCTTTATTGTATGAACTGTAGAAAACAGCCTATGATCCTCAAATCAAAGATGTGGGAGAAGGCTTCTGGGCTATCAGCCACAAAAATTGCACATTTGACTCAGCTGCTATCCTTAGTTATCCACGGCTTTTAGGATTTGTTGAAGACTAATACCAGATGTACTACTGTAGAGTTGCCATATGGAGCAGCACTAAGACCAGCAGGTAAGATTGTTTCACCCTCCAGTTTTCTATTAACTAATGACTGCACCTCGTACGTCAGTATCTTGCAAAATTGATGCAAGTATTTTACTCTGACGTTCACTGACCAAAGGCTACATTTACTTTTTGTTTGATCATGTTTAAAAAAATCATATGTTCGTCCGTCACAAATCCGTAAGTCAACCACTGTAACCTACATACGATGGGAAATATATTTGTATATATATACATATGTACATATGAAACTTGTGGACAAAGATTTGGTTTTAAATAAAATCAGTCTCGAAAACTGTGTAAACTTTCTGCACACAGTGCTTCTCAACCCAAAAGATGCTTTTCATTCGACCAATGGATTCATTGTTCATAAAGGTACTTTAAACATACCAACCCATACTCACGGAGACATGTTGGGTGGCTACTGCAAGTAGCAAGTAAATAAATAAATAAATAAATTTATTCTCATAGTACAGTACATGAGGGACGCCAGTTTACAGGCATCATCAAATTGTTACAGAAATAGAACCATATAATTTAATCACAATTTACAGCCAGTAGCAAGATATGCTTTACATGTTCGATGGAGATTATACATACACTTGATAAATGTTAATTCCAGTAGTATAAAACAGCCTTTTCACTTATATACAATCATTTCTGTGCAAAGTTGGAAAAATCTGCTAGATTGTCAGTGAGTGCAACACAACAGGAAATACAGGAGTATTGTCTTCGCATTAACAAAAAAACCAGGTCTTTGGTGGATGGATTATAAGTGCCTGGGAAAAAAATAAAGCTTGAAGTAAATATTCATACATAACTTTGTTGTGTGCAGAGTCCTCGAATTATAGTTCATTGATGTGTTATTTTGAAATCAGTGATGTGTTTATCTCATTTGATCTGCAATCTCATTGTTGGGAGTAAGTACATAAGCTTCGGACGCATTAATTAATGGATTTCTACTGATTACGGGTATTTTCTTAGCGTGAGGAAGGTTTATGTATTTCAGCTGTTCCGACAGGAGTTGAGAATATTAACTGCTCAGCAACATTATGGGTATAAGTTCATCACATTATCTAAGGAAAGGTGGGTTGCAGTTGGTGACGGATATATGGTGCCCAACGAGCGTTCATCTGTCCTTGTGATGTTGTGGTGAGTTATACCTTTTTCATGTTGTCGGTTTATGTCCATTTTATTCCACTTATTGTGTTGGGTAGTAGTTTTACAAACGAGATTTCTTGTCTGTTTGAGGATACGTATGTTAACCGTTAATGTTTTATCTAGAATTATAAATATAGGCAAAAAACAACAGGTGTAGTATTTAAGCTTATACATTAAATGGACCTATAATTTCGGAGGCTCTCAGATAGGAACTAGAACTAATATCGTTTGCAAACTCTTGTAGTTTGTCATTAAGCACCTTTTTGAAGGAGGCCAATGTACTTACTTGACGCATTTCCATTGGCAGTTTATTCCATATCTGTGCATACCTAATCAAGTAAAACTTTTGCCTGGTGGCTGTTTTACATTGTTCGATAGCTACTGTACCCTTAGTGTGTCTTAGTTTGTAGCCATTGTCATCTGAAAGTCGAGTGCCATTAGTAGAGGTAAAAACTAAGTGGTTTAGAAGCTTATAGTAAAGTGTCAAGTTTAGTCTCAGGCGTCTTAGCCATAGTGTTTCTAGTCCTAGGGTATCACATCTAGTGGAGTAGTTCGTACCATTTCCGGTTCCGAGTAATTTTAACGTGAAGTACCTCTGCACTCCCTCGACTTTCAATTTGTCCTCTATGCGTATGCTACTATACATGAATGAACAGTAATCGAATAAAGGACGCACACAAACCTTGTACAACAGAATTCTAGACTCATTTCTGTAGAAGTTCCTGAGTAGAAAGCCGATAAGTCTGCGTGACTTTGACACTTGTTTGGAGATGTGTTCAGAAAATGATAAGTTATGTGAATATTTCAGCCCTAGGTCCAGTACAGATTCCAGTCGTTGAAGTGCATGGCCTTGAATTGTCAGGTCAAGTTCTAAGTTGTTGCAACCTATGCAGAGCCAGCCACATTTTTCGACATTAAATTGGAGTTGCCAGGTGTCACACCATCTATCCATTTTTTCTAATTCTTGCTGTATGGCGTTTACTGTTATTCCAAGATCTGTGTTCTTGCATTTATACGTCACTTTTAAGTCATCTGCATATAGTATTGGTTTACCTACACTAAAGCATTCACAGATACTGTTTATATATATTATGAATAAGAGTGGGCCTAATACACTTCCCTGGATTACACCACTACTTACTGGTTTAGGCCTTGAGATTATCGAGCCAACTTTCGTTGTCTGACTTCGGCCACAGAGAAATGATTTTATCCAGCTCAGGAGAGGATCACATATCCCTAGTGAGCATAACCTGCTGACTAGCAGATTATGGGGAACTCTGTCGAAGGCTTTTGTTATATCGAAATAGAGCACAATTACTAGTTCTCTGTTGTCCCTACTTCGTGTAACTTCATTGAAAAAGTCTATGTGACAGGTCACGCATGATCTCTTTTTGAGAAATCCGTGTTGTGATGGATTGATAAGTTCATGTTCTAGTAAGTTGTCTGACACTTGTTCTTTAACCACTTTCTCCATTATTCGGGATATTACCGGTGTTATATTGATAGGTCTATAGTTGCATACACTGGTTTTGGCCCCTGCTTTGTGCTTAGGTAATATGTATGTGGTTTTCCACACTTCAGGATAAGTTCCAGTTTCTAATGAGAGAGTAAATATTCTAAGTAACAAGACTACCATTTCCGTGCTACCATTTTTGTACATGACAGATGGTATGTCATCTGTTCCAGTACTACCATTAGACTTCAAAGTCTTAATCGCTGAGTCTATATTTTGTATATTAAAGTCTATTCCGCCTAATTTGTGGTTGCTTTTGCAAGTCATTTGGAAATTTGGGGTTGGGTGCACTCTGGCGTCATTGCAAAACCACTCATTGAGGAGTTCACTGATAACCTGGGGATCATTGTGTATTATACCCTTATGCTCCAAGCTGCTTACAGTATTGTCTTTACTACTTTTTAGACGTCTCTGCAATATCCTACAAAGTTCCTGAGTTTTGGAGTTACCCACAAGCGCTTTATTTTCTTCAAGTTGTGACATCATTTTGTGTTTATCTTCGAGCCGTTTGAGAGTTTCATGTATTTGGTTTAACGCATTAAATTCCTTAAATACATGGTATTTCCTTTTCAATTTCTTTAGTTTTAGTCGCGTTTTGCGGTCTATAAATGGAGTTGGTGTCTTTAGAGCAGATTTTAGGGGCGCGATTATGTCTCTTGCTGAGCCAATTGTTTTGTAGAAAATATCGAGTGATACTTCTAAGTTATTGTTAATGAAGTATTCTTCCCAGTCAGAACTTCTCAGCAGATCTGATAGGAATTCCCAATCGGCATTCTTATAGTCCCTATACTGATAGTGCACCGGGGAATTTTTAGGTGTGTGTTTAGTTGTTAGTCGGAATGGTAGCGTGCAGTACAATATGTTGTGATCACTGTTATCA